CTCTTCTAAGGGTGGACACGGTTCGGATTGGACCGGTTTTTGCCTCAAATTAGAATCGATCCAGTACTATTCATCCAGTTTGGTTTGGTTCAGTTTTAATTAAAAAAAATTCAAAAACTGTCCGATTCGAGTTGAACCGGTTTCGATCCTGTCCGATTTTGAACCGGATTATAAAAATTATTTTTTTTAAATTATCATTTAATACAATTCTCAACTGATTATTTTTACTTGAAAATTAACAAATTATTCAATTTCATATAAAAATAAATATTAAAGTTAGAAAAAAAAGATATTTTGAAATTGAACTTGGATAAATATTAGTTTTTTTTTGGTTAAATTACAACTATAGCATTAAATGTTAAATTTATATTGAAATTATATATTTTTTAATTTGACTGGTTCGGTTTGGTCCTTTTCAATTTTTGAAGACATGGAACCGGATCCAAAATCGGTCCAAATCGGTCCGGTTCGATATTTGACTGGTTTTTGACTTTTTGGTCAACTCGGTTTTTTTCCAGTTTAGTTCGGTGTGGTTCGGCCCGGATTTCTGATTTGCCGGTTTGAGTGCCCACCCCTACTCTCTCCCCTACTTTTCTTTCTTCCTTCTGCCTGTTCCTTTTTCTCCCTCACTCTCGGGTCTCTTCTTCCTTTTATTTACTATCCTCTCATCTTCTTCATTTTCTCTTTTCTCCCTCTCTCTCTCCGTCTCTTTTTCCTTTTTTTTTTCTCTCCCTCTCTCTCCTTCTCTTCTTCATTTTTTTTCCCTTCTCTTTTTCATCTCTCTCTTTCTCTAGTGCAGTTTTCTTATCTTGCTCTGGTTTATCTCCTTCTCTATCTACAATTTTCTTTCTTTTTCTAGTGTTTTGTTTGTTTCTGTTTCTCTGTTCTCTTCTTTTAGATCGAAGATTATAGATATGTGGGCATATGTATTTTTGTTTGTATTTTTCCTTGCAAGTCTGATAGACCTAAGGCAAGTTTAGCAAGGTAGATATGTTATTGTTGATTATGTTTTTAGCTTGATTTAGTTGTATTCGTTTGATTATGTTTGAGGTTTTTTTATATGGTTCTGGGTTGTAGAGGAAGTGATTAGAGATGTGTATGTAAGAAAAAATAAAAATAAACCGCTAATTTGAAACCGAAATTGAAAGAACTGAACCAGTCTTTATAGTTTCGGATTGGTTCGGGTTTATCACTCATTTGAGCTAAAAACCGAATTAAACCAAATTAGACTAGATGAATAGTGCCAATTCTAGTTTCAATATTAAGTGAAAACCGAGCTAAATTGAATCGTGCCCAGCCCTAATAATTAGGTTTATTCATGTTGATTTTTTACTATACTCAAAAGCTTTTACAAAATTTACATTTATAAAAGGCTTATTTACTGTAGTATCCTTTGAAATTTCGGTCAAATCTCCCTTTAACCCCCAAAGTTAAAGTGGCCTATTTAACCCCCCTGACCGTGGTTTCGTGTTCCACTTTACACCCCTCCCCACTGTCATCTCCATTAATAACTCTGTAAGTTTTGATGATGTGGTAAGGTTATTTTAGTTTTTTTTTACAACAAGTGATGATGTGTCATGTAAATGGCCCACTATTTTTTTTGGTTTAAGTGGACTAAAATATTGAATAAAATAATGTAATTACTTGTTTAATTTAAAAAATTAAAAAATGGAAAAATGGAAAAATTATAAATGAAAGTCTTTCTTCTCCATCTCTCTCCCATGATCTCTCTCACCCCTAACTTCATCAACAACCATTGTAAGCCTGAGCAATGAGATCTTTGCGAGTAGAGGTCAAAATCATGGGCAAAGTAATTGCTCGGACTACCGGGCTTCTTAAATCCCCTAAATTATTTACAAAATCACCCAATAACCCTAGCCCTACTCTACTTTAATTTGCATCAAAACCCTAACTAAAGCAAAAAAAGTTGAAAATTTCAGAGAAAGAGAGGGATCATGCGACACTAATATTAGTTTTCGGGGTCGTTGAGAAACTAGTTCTAGGTGATCTTCAATTCGGCAACGTTCACTTCAGACTAGGAAGTAGATGACGCTTCATTTTTCTTCCTGGGCTCCTCAAGAGGGTCGTCCTCCTCGTTGGCCCAATGCTTTTACTCCGGTTTCACCAGCATTGGTGGTGTTGCTGTTTCTACGATGGCGGTGGTGGAAATGTTAGTCTCGACCATGTGGTGGTTGGGGTGGCGTTGGGTTATGAAGTTAGGGAGGGAGAGAGATGGAGAAGAAAGATTTTTATGTATTAATTTTTCCAATTTTTATATATATTTTTAACTAAACAAGTAATTATATTATTATATTATATATTTTATTCCACTTAAAAAAAAAAGTGGGCCTTTTACATGACACATCATCACTTGTGGTCAAAAGACTAAAATAGCCAAGTCACGTCATCAAAACGGACAGAGTTATTAATGAAGATAACGGTATGGGGTAAAGTGGAACACGAAACTACGGTCAAGGGGGTTAAGTGGGCTACTTTAACTTTGGGAGGGTAAAGTGAGATTTGACCGAAGTTTCAAAGGGCACTATAGTAAATAAGCCTTTTGTTGAGGCCTAAAAAATCCAAGGCTGCCCAAATATATTTCTAACTTAGTACGACACCTAACTTGGGAAGAAACCCAACTTGGGTACGCAATAGTTAGTCATATGCGCTGGCACACGTTCCACGCCAAGCAAATAAGCAACACGCCACGCTACAAGCTTAAGTGGGCCCAAACCACGCGAATGCCTGGGGCTTGCTGAGCAGGTTATGGTATGGATGGTTACGAGTATTCACAAGGCTCATTGATGATCCAAGGAATGGAAGTTTTGGGCTACTTGGGATCACTAAAACTCAAGCCCATTACTTGAGCCTAAACATATGGGTAAGCATGAGAGAAAACCCAATAGTCCATCACTTTAGGAAGCTGGCCCATTTCCTTAGTAAACTAACCCATCACCCTAGAAAGGCCCAAATGACCAAGAAAATGTCTGAAAGTCTCTAGCACATGGCTGGAGACAAAACCATGACAAAAGCCAAAAGCCACTCATGTTTGTAGGCTGCTGGGAATCTCCAGCACATGGCCAAAGACAAATCCCAACACAAGCCATCAAAAAACTAAAGGATACTTGAGCAAAATACCTTTCAAACCAGCGCCCTTACCCATTTCTTTCTCCTACCAGCTCTTGCCATGGAAGAAGGAAGGAAAGAAGGTGAGGAGGTAGCCAAAAATGGGAGTTCATTACTGAAGCAGCTGCAGGAAAGCCTTAGAGCTCCCAAAAATCTTGTCTTTGTGTGTTTGGATAGAGGAAGATTTCACAAAATGGGATGAGTCAAAGGGAGAGAAGAGAAATGAAAGGGGAGACTTGGCAAAATTGGAGAGAACCAACTAGGGTTTTCTTGGGAAGAAGGAGCTTCCAGCGCCTATAAAAGGGAGACACCTTTTACCCACCAAAACAACTCAAAAAAAGACAAGCAACCCACATCTAGAGAGCAAGCTTCATCTTTCATCCCTTAAACCTCTGCAATTTCGAGCATCATTCCTTTATCTTCTTCTATTTTCTCCTTTGGTAAATCGTTCTAGAGCTTGATAGAGCTTTTGTCAAGCTGCCGGAAAGTACTCAACACACCCATTGTTATTCTCCCATCTCTCTCTCTTCAACGAACTCCTTTAGAATCTCTTCCCCTTGCCTTAAAAACTATGTTTCTCATAGGAAATCGCAGCTCTTTCTCTCTCTCTCATGCTAAATTCATGAATGCTCAGCTCCCATGCCACAAGCTTCTCATGCCAAGCCAAGAATTTATCTGTAAGTGACTGTTGGTTTCATTGGTGAAGAAGACCAAGGTGTTTTCTAAGGCTCAGCTACCATTTCGAAACATTCTTGGAATCTGATTCTTGAACTCAGACTCAAGAGGCAATTTCATACATTTGGCTTTTTACAGCAGCCCAGACCCATCAGTAGCTATCAGAATGAAAAAGCCCCTACAACTTTATAAAACTAGGGATTACCTGTATGCTAAAATTAATGACAAAAACTTGATGGGTGTCGAGGAATAATGACGTAGATTCCAAATATATTGAATTATGTATGGGGAATATTTAAGGGCGTTTCACATATAGCCTATTATAACATGATATTTCATTTTTTTTTTTAAATTACCCTTCCAATCAATGGGGAATCCACATGGAGGTCATAGGGGTCAAACGACCCTTAAACAACCATGGAAATAGGCATGGAGGTCCTAGTTTTCTAGAGGTGTGACCCTTTAAGCTCCCCATCATTTGTTTGATGAAAAGCCTGAAGAGGAGGAAGAGAGCTCACTGGGAATAAGAAGAGAAGCTGTGCAGGTTTTTTTTTTAATCGCCTGGCGAAACGACGTCATTTTTCTTAAGGCACTTCAAATATTTTTTAAACAAATTACGTCGTTTTGCTGAGGTGTGCCGCATGCTTTAAAAAAACAAAAGAGTAGTAGCTCTTTAACGGTAGGGGGTAAAGTGGAACACGAAACCATGGTTAATGGAGTTAAGTGGGCCACTTTAACTTTAGGAGGGTAAAGTGAGATTTGACTGAAGTTTCAGAGGGCACTATAGTAAATAAGCCTTCATAAAACCAGGGACTACCTGTAGGCTAAAATTAATGATAAAAACTTGATGGGCGTCGAGGAATAATGACATAGATTCTAAATATATTGAATTATGTATGGGGAATATTTAAGGACTTTCACATATAGGCTATTATAACATGACATTTTGTTTTTAAAAAAATTACCCTTCCAATCAATGGGGAATCCATAGGGAGGTCATAGGGGTCAAACGACCCCTTAACAACCATGGAAATAGGCATGGAGGTCCTAGTCTTTTTGGAGGTGTGACCCTTTGAGCTCCCCACCATTTGTTTGATGAAAAGCCTGAAGAGGAGGAAGAGAGCTCACTGGGAAGAAGAAGAGAAGCTGCGTAGGTTTTTTTTTTAATCGCCTGGCAAAATGACGTTATTTTTCTTAAGGCACTTCAAATTTTTTTTTAAAAAACAAACTATGTCGTTTTGCTGAGGCATGCCGCATGCTTTAAAAAAAAAAAAAAGAGTAGTAGCTCTTTACCTGACTCATACCGCCAAATGAGTTGAACTTGGGCTTCTAGAGTTGATAGACAAATTGAAATCATTTAAATATATTTGTCCAATAAAGAATAAAATTTGAAAGAGAACAAATAGATAAGAAAAAGGGAAAACTCAAATTTTTTTTTTGTGGAACATTTACACGATGACCCCTTAGGTTACGGATCCTAGATCCGCCATTGCTTCCAATCCAATTCTTTAGAAAAAAATTCATGTTGTACCTTCAAGTTATAAAGTTGTAACATACTAAGAACCAATTAGAAAGTGACAAATAGCTAGTTGGGACTCCTTTTTTTTTGTTTTGTTTTTTTTTTCTTCTCCAAATAGGCTTTCTAAGAGTGTTTTTCTATAAATTAGATAGTTTTATAGGGTTTTTTTTTTCTTCTTTCTAATTTCCTTTATTTAAATGTATCATGAGTCTTTGTTTGGCATACATACCAGGTGGGATACCAAGAGAAATAGGGAACTTAACAATTCTGAAGGAGATACACCTTGACTCCAACAATTTCCACGGTATATTTGTTGCATTGCCTTGCCTTGATGTGACCCAATTATATATATATGACTCTGCTTTTGTTACAGTTTATTATATGTGCATAAATCATGCTTTTGTGTGAATATCCGTATGATTTTCAGAAATTCCAAAAGAGATTGGCAATTTAGATAAGCTCGAGAGGTTGTATGTGCAGTCTAATGCCCTAAAAGGCCCTGTTCCTTTGGCTGTTTTCAACATGTCGTCTTTGATTACATTGGCTCTGTATGGAAGCAACTTGAGTGGTGGTCTTCTAGACAATATATGCCAGCATCTTCCTAGTATTCACGTGCTCAATTTGGGTCGTAACCACTTTGATGGTCCACTTCCATCCAAATTATGGCAATGCAAAGAGCTTCTTATATTATCACTGGAAGAGAACAACTTCAGTGGAAGCATACCCAAAAATATTGGCAACTTAACCCAGTTAATGGTTATTACTCTTAGCAGTAACAATTTGAGAGGTAATTGATATTTCATTATGTTTTTCAAAACTATATCTTTTTTGGGTGGCATCATTTATCATTATTTAATTATTTTGTACTAGGTAACTAGACAAAAATTATTTCATAGTTAGTAAATGAGGGAGACGTTAATCATGAATATGAATTATAAAGCAGAATAAAATAGATTGAAACTTTCCTAATAAACTAGGACATACAAACTGAAGAAACGTGTTTCGCTAAAAGAAATGACATTTTGTCCTTTCATCTCCATTACATAGGTCCTCAATTAATTTTTTTAGGGATTTTATTTTCATTTTAGAGATTTCAATTAAAATACTGTTGTATTAATAAACATTTGATACTAAAAGTTATGAACGAGTACATAGGGTAAGGGTTGGATTAGATTACATCAATCCATAAATAGTGAAATTGTTGTAGACTAATAATGCAAGGGTTGTGACATTGTGGTAGGCACTATACCAGATGAGATCGGTGATCTTCAAAATTTAGAGATTTTTACAGTCGGTGGAAATAATCTGAATGGCCTCATCCCATCCTCAATCTTCAATATGTCAACCATCAGAGTAATGGCCCTTGATACAAATCCGCTATCGGGTAGCCTCCTAGCAAACATAGGCCTCGGGGTTCCAAACCTACAATTCTTTTACGTGGGAGCAACTGACCTCAGCGGAGTAATCCCCAACCTCTCCAATGCTTCTATGCTCATCAATATGGATTTGGGCAGAAACTCATTTACAGGGTTTATTCCAAGCACGCTCTGTGCCTTAACAAACATTGAGTCCATTAGATTAGGAAGTAATAATTTGACGATTGAGACTTCGACTCTCTCTTGTTTGGCTAATCTTGGAAATTTGAGAACACTAAGCTTGGCAAATAATCCGTTAAATGCCAGACTTGATGATTCCTTTTGGAATTTCTCTACATCGAGGCTTCAATTCATTAATTTACAAAATTCCAGCATGAGGGGTAGCATTCCCTTTAGTATTGGCAACTTGAGCAGCTTGATATCCTTAAGCCTGGAATACAATCAATTGAGTGGATCAATTCCAACTTCTGTGGGAAGACTTGGGAATCTCCAAGGTTTGTACTTGGGCTACAACAAATTGCAAGGGCATATCCCATATGAACTTTGTGAGCTATATAACCTAGCTGAATTGGATTTGGGTAGCAATCAGCTCTCTAGTTCTATACCTTTCTGTTTGGGTAATTTAACTGCATCTTTAAGACATCTATCATTATGGTCCAATTGGTTGAGTTTCACAATACCATCTACTTTATGGAGACTTGCCTATATCACCTATGTAGACTTATCATACAATTCTCTAATTGGACCTCTCTCGGAAGATATTGGAAAGTTGAAAGTTGTGATAGAG